AAGCCCTCTCGGGTCCCGTGGCCGCCCTCAGTCAGCCAGCCTGCTCCCAAGACCGCTACAGGGCGGTGCGGGGCGGCTCCGGCGTTTTTTAAGCCCAGGCGGGTAAGGGGAAAGGCCTTTAAAATGTTCGGTGTTTGGGGCGGGCGCAGTGGTTCACGCCTGTAATCCCAGCACTTTGCGAGGTCGAGGCGGCGGATCACCTGAGGTCAGGAGTTGGAGACCAGCCTGGCCAACATGCTGAAACCCCGTGTCTACTAAAATATATAAAAATTATCCGGGCCTGTTGGCAGGCGACTTAATCCCAGGTACTTGGGAGGCAAAGGCAGGAGAATCATTTGAACCCGGGAGGCAGAGGTTTCAGTGAGCCGAGGTCGAGCCCTTGTGCTCAAACTTGGGGGGTAAGAGCGAGACTTCTCTCAAACAAAAAAAAGTTTTTTTGTTTTGTTTTTGTTTGTTTGTTTTGAGGCAGGGTCTCACTCTGTCACCGAGGCTGGAGTGTAGTGGCGCGACCTCGGCTCATTGCAGCCTATGTCTCTTGACAGTCCGCGGGTTAAAGCGATTCTCTTGCCTCAGTCTTCTGAGTAGCTGGGATTACAGGCGCCCGCCACCACTCCTGGCTAACTTGTGTTTTTAGTAGAGATGGGGTTTCACCGTGTTGGCCAGGCTGGTCTCGAACCGCTGATCTCAAGTGACCCACCTTTAGCCTCCCAAAGTGCTGGGATTCCAGGTATGAGCCACCGCGCCAGGACCCAAGGCCCTTAAGTTTTAAGGCCTCATTCTTCAGTCAGGTTTTCCTTGTTCCTGCGTGCTCAGCCAATTGGTTTTGAATTTGTGTTTAAGGAGAAACTAACAATGAAAATGGACTCGTTGATGGAAGAAAAGTTGGAATGCAGCCTCTGGTGCTGTGTGAGCGATCCGTCTCTCCGGGGCCTGGCTGCGCGCTGCTGTGTTCTGGAAAGGCACATTGTACCATAGATGCGGCAGGTAAGAGGCCTGTGCAGGTGCTCTGACCTTTTCCTTTCAGGCTTCTGTATCAGCTGTTTTTCCCCTGTAGAATGTGCCCCTTACCTCCACCCCTTAACCCTACCCAATTCGTCTTTACGTGTCTGGCCATCCAGGCTCTTCTGGATCATATTCAGTTCATGCTGGTATTTTCCCTTCTTCCCCTCCTTAGTCCTTACTATTTTTGCTTTGGTCATGTTATGCTATATTCTGTAAGCCTTTTAAATTTGTTTTATGGTGGCAGGGCAGAATATTTTGTAATTATACTTTGTGTTTTTTATCTTTCACTCAATAAATGCTTGGTAAATATTTGTTTTATTGAGTGTATGACCCTATTCTAGCTATATTGTGCTTGAACAAAAGTCTTAACTGCCTTGTAAGTTAACTGCTAAGAATTTGTCAAAAGTGCAGAGATAACATCAAGAACTTGTCATGGATAGTACAAAAAGGTCTGGAAGGGCTTGATGGAAGTCTGTAAATTGACTTCATGTGAAAGACTGTAAGAAACGAAAATGTGAATGAAGCATGACTGGAGAGCCAGAGTGATAAAGCAAGGGTACCTTTCTCCAGATCCTTTGTGACAGTGTTATGTGACCTCTTCTAGAAGATCATTCTCAAAGACAATGCCAGCTCGGAACCTAGGAAACCATCCACTGGGTTCCTGCAGGTTAGGTGTTCAAATCCTCATCAGCACCTTTGTTTTCTCTGCCTCAGTTTGCTTACAATGATGTTCTCAGTAGCTGTATTTGCTGTCTGGCTTTGAATACTTAAGCATTTTTTTTTAGATCACAGGGGTTTATGTGCATTTTTATTTTACCAAGTGTTAGAACTTTTACTCTGCTTTTATGGGCTCTGTGTTAGCTACTTGGTCGTTTTCGTTGTAAAGTGATTAGCAGAGAAAACTCCGTGTGTGTGTGTGTGTGTGTGTGTGTGTGTGTGTGTGTG